ATGTATTCTCCTATACTTTGAAGTAACTGTATCCAGAAGAGAGTTACACTGCCAGGCAACAGGCTACAAAATAATTGACCCTTGAACAGTGCTGACCCCCCCAGGGGCAGTTGAAAACCCATGTATAGCTTTTGACTCCTCAAAACATTTTACTAATAGCCTACTGTTGATTGGAAGCCTTATTGATAACATACACAGTTGATGAACACCTATTTTGTATGTTATATGTGTTATATACTAAATTCTTACAATAAAGTAAACTAGAGAAAAGAAAATAATAAGGGAGAGAAAATACATTTACAGTACTGTACTATATTTATCAATACCATAAGTTTAGGTCATCTGTTTACAAGATGAATCATCTGCCTGTATCTACATCAATATTATCTTATATAATACAAACCACTGTATATCTTATACATATTACTAACACTAGACATCAAAAATGAAAAGATAATGTGAAAAGGAAATCCATGTTTATTTTCAGGTATAACGATTCATGCATTGATAATGAAGCAGCAGCAATATCATTGCTTTATCGTGTAGTCTAGTGCAATCAATGCAAATGCTTCATGGTAGCCTAGGCTATACACTAAATGAATGAATCAATATAAAAATTTTATGGCATACAGTCATATTCAGAGTACAGTATTGGAAACATTGTTACATTTAAAGAAACACCTGTGATGATTGGCTGATATGCAGTTTCTCTAATTACAAGAGAGAGGCATACCATATGGTAATGTAATTCTTTGAAAGCAAAGTTATAAAACAGTAAGAAGACTAATACATGATTAATTTAATATTCAATATCACTCACCTTATGCCTATGAAGGATGGACTAATCTACATAGTTTTATGCATTCATGACATACCTAAATTTCTCTTAATGTTTTGAGATTTCTAGGCTACAAAAAAGTAGCCTAGAAAGCTTTTTGCAAATTGTTGCAAATTTCAAAAAAAAATTCCAATATCTTTATTTTAAAAAAATCCACGTATAAGTGGACCTGTGCAGTTCAAACCCATGTTGTTCAAGGGTCAACTATACTTTCAGTCCAAGTGCCACATAGGGAAATGAACAGTAGATGGCACTTTTGTGCTATGCCTGAATTCTCCACTTTGAAGGGAAGTAACCTCGGAATGACTCGTGCTAAAACAGAAACAACCCTTTGTAGTGTTCAAGTGGATAAATTCAATTTCTGATTTGAAGGGGATCTGGAAAAGGAGGGCTAATTAAAGAGTCAGTTTTACCCGACCTTTGTACCTGGCCTCCAATGACACCTTAGATTTTTAAATATTGTGACTCCCATCCAGATTAATAAATTTGCAATTTGAGGTGGTCCCAAATAATTACTGTAGCAAGTAGAATTACATGAACTGAAGCAGGCTTAGGGTTAGAAAAAAAATCCCGAACTTGGGCCACATTTCCAAATATCCACCTCTGAGCTTTTGCTGTTTGCAAAGGTTAGGAAGAGCAAAAAGAAATAAAATCAAATATGGAAGAGAATCATGGGAGGGGCATTTGGGAGTAATAAATGAGGACAGTGGAATGGAAATAAAGGTGTTACAGTTTTTCTTTTGTAAATCTTGTAAACTGGTAAAGCATTAGGTAGGATACAGAATTTTACATTTATCATACCCTTGCAAGCACAAAAAAGGCATCATGACTTAGTGATTAAGAGGTGGAGTCTGGAAGTGCCCACTAAAATCTAAAGCTCTGCCACTTCCTTAGCTGCGTACCCTTTTATTTTGTATCTATATGAGATGATGGATGTTCACTAAACCTACTGTGATAATCATTTCATGATGTATGAAAGTCAACTCATTATGTTGTATACCTTAAACTTATACAGTGCTGTAATTCAGTTATATCTCAACAAAACTGGAAGAACATCATCTCAAACAGAAACTCCACACCCGTTAAGCAATAACTCTCCATTCTTATCCCCATCCCCTGGTAGCCTCCATTCCACTATCTCTCTCTATGAATCCATGTATTTGAGGTACCTCATATAGGTGGAATCATACAATATATGTTCCTCTATGTCTGGCTTATTCACTTAGCTTAACGTTTTAAGGTTCACCCATGTTATAACATGTATCAAAATTTCTTTTTATGACTGAATAACAGTCCATTTTATGTAGGTATCACATTTTGTTTATTGATTCACGTGTTGGATACGTGAATTATTTCCACTTATTGGTTATTGTGAGTAATGCTGCTACGAATATTGGTGTACAAGTATCTGTTCCAGTCCCTGTTTTTAATACATTTGGGTATATACCTAGGAGTTAACTTTTTGAGGAACTGCCAAACTGTTTCCCCAGTGCTATATCCTTTTACATTCCCACCAGCATCCAGCATTATTTTTAAATATATTGCTCTTTTTTTTTTTTAAAAAAAAAGTCAAACCTAGACTGGGAATAAGTAGCAAAGCTTAGAGTCCTGCCACAGTTTGCTGATAAATTGCTGGTATCAACAATCTGGACACATCACCTCCTAAACTAGAGCAATGTTTCCCAATGTACACAGCTGAGACTCCCATGGCAATCACCTAAGGGGCTTATTACATCTATAGGGTCCTCGAGCCCACCCCCTATATGCTGATTCAGCATTTTGGGGAATGAGGTTCCCTAAATCAGCTGTCCCCAACTTTTTTGGCACCAGGGACCGGTTTTGTGGAAGACAATTTTTCCACGGGGGGTGAGTGTGTGTATGTGTGGCAGGGGAGGTGGGGGGAAGGTCCAGGCGGTAATGCGAGCGAGGGAGCGATGGGGGGGCGGCAGATGAAACTTTGCTGGCTCGCCCGCCACTCACCTCCTGCTGTATGGCCAGGTTCCTAACAGGCCGCGGACCTGCAGCGGTCCGCGGCCCAGAAGTTGGGGACCCCTGCCCTAAATCATCATTATTCATGTTAAAATATGAGACTCAGAAACCTAGATTGTTGAGTTCTTAAAGGCCGGGAAAATACCTCAGTCACCTCTGTACTCCTCAGAGCCAAATATACAGGAGATATTCGACAAACATATACTTGAACTAATGTTGCAGTCTAAAGCTATTTCCTACTTGCTTGATTGCTATGTATAGTACTCATTAAAACTAAATTCTATCACTAGACAACTAGTTAATCTGTAATTTTGGTGTATAGTTTATCTTTCATTTGCATAGAATGTGTATCTTAACCAGTTGTGGTCTATTATGCCATCTTATGCTGCCAAGAATCTTCTGTATATAATTTTCAGCTGAGTCCTTCAAGCTTTGAGGCAGGGTAAAAAAGGGTATGGACTTGGAACTGGAAGAGCTGTGTGTGATCGTTGATAATTAAAATAAGAATCAAGTTTATAATTTGTAAAGGTTGGTCACATTTTGTAACTCTATTAACTTCATAGTGTTGCTGAAGCTCAATGATATTCTGTGCAAGAAAGCCTACTGTAGCAAAGGCTATTGTTACTATATTGCCCAATAATTTAAACAAAACAATATGTTCCTTTCTACGTCTTCCTAAAAAGTTTAAATATGCTGCTGTATCAATTTGCTGCTCTAAAGCATATGCAAATGAGATTGGAATAGAAAACGCACAGCAGAAAAACATTAAGTGGATTCACAACATTAATTCATTCATCACGTTTATACAGTATTTACAACAAGCCAGGCATTGTGTGAAAACTTGTGATTAAATAAATTCAAGCCTGTCCTCCAGAGGTTTAGTTCCTTTGGGTATATTAATAAATAGCAAGCGGCCCCATTTCGCATCAAACTCTCTTGTGCGTCATAAGCTGTCTGGGACCAGCTTGAAATTCGCGCGGGCTGTCTCTTTAACGTGTAATAGAACTCTGATTGCATCGATCACAGGCTCATTACCCTCTCCCACCCATCGGTCTCTTTTCTATCCCAGTTACTACCCTCCTACTTGTGTCAAGTCGTGGGGAGCGCAGGTGTTAGTAAAAGTTGGCTTTGATGTGTGCCGGCACCTGACCCCGGGGCTTCCCGCTTGCCAGGTGGCGGAGGCCAGGCTCTCTACGGCGCGGGCGGAGCCTCGGGGCTCGGCTGGCCATGCCTGGAGCGCGGGGTTTGAGTGGGCCGTTGTTGTAGTGACCGCGAGGCGCTGCCGCTCCGGGCAGACTGTTCCGGGCGCCGCAAGGTCCCCCTTCCTACCTCGCCCCCTCCCTTTCCCCGATTCCCCACACGGGCAGGGGGCAGGAGCCAGGAGCCAACCGCTTCCCCCATGGCCTCCGCCCCGGTAAGGACGGGCTGGGGTGCGCCTCCCCGGAGCCGGTCCCGCCGGCTGGGGAGCCAGGTCGGGGCCGCGCCCGCACCTGGCGGGAGATGGAAGCAGACGTCCTCAGTTGGGTCCCGAGCCGCTAGCTCCTCGCCCCTCGCTCCGGGGCGCCGGTGACTCGTCCTCTGCCACTGGGACACCGGGAGCGCAGAGCCCTGGCCGAGCTCCCGGGCACTCCTCCCCGAGTCCCGGAGTTCCGACAGCCACGGCAGCTCCATGGACCCCAGAATTCTCTGAGGGTTTCCGTGGAGAGCCTGCGTCAGAATCACCTGGGAAGTTTTTGAAAAGTACCGAAGCCCGGGTCCCGCCTCGCACCTGTGACTGCGTGCCGGCGGGCGGGGTCCCGGAACGTGCATTTAAATGGAGCTGCCCAGGTGGTCCCTCGCGTGCGCTCTGTTCTGGGAAGCGCGAGTGGAGGATTCGGCCGGCTCTGCTGGGGAAGTTGGCGCTCGGCGTCCCCCTGTAGCGGTGGCCGCGTGTGCTCGCGCGGGGCGCTCCTGCTCTGCACACCCACCTTCGATGCGGCCGTTCCCGGGCCGGCCTCCGGGGGAGGGGACAGCGTTGATGCCCGACCCCTCCAAATTCGAGGTCAGCATCTGCTTTCAAAACTTGACAACTTTCCTTCCCAGGAGGACCCCGTTCTGCAGCGCTATTTTAAGGGCCACAAAGCGGCGATCACCTCCGCGGACTTTAGTCCCGACGGCAAACAACTTGGTAAGTTTTCTTTTTTTCTTTTTGTAATGAGACGCTCAACCGGTCAGAACCCTTGCCTCCTGTCCACGCCGGGCCCCCGCGAGAACCACTGAGGACGTATGGGTGGAGGTGGTGTTGAAAGCGGCCGAGATGCATTCGGAGCCAGAGTGGGCCCGAGCTGGGGCCACCTTGGTCATCCCGGCCCACAGCCCGGCCCCGCAGGGTCGCCTGTAGGCTTGGGCCTGGCCGACGACTTTCGCGAACTAACCACCAGGAGGAGTAAGTGGGAAGGGGCGGAGTTTGTCCTCGGCCCCGGGAGGGAGGGGTGTTGGCTGGAGAGTTTGTGAAAAGTTGTGAGACCAGCAGGAGGAAGTGGGGAGAGAGGCGTTGGGGCTGTTCCGGAGGTCGAGCACAGGGTGGTCTTAAGTGACCCCCGAGGAGCCCCCGCGGCTGGAAAGGAGCCGAGCGCCTGCATGAAAGGAGGAACCTGCTGGGAAGTTCGCTTCTACCTGAGCCCGGAATTCCAGCGTCGGGTCCCGCAGCCTTTCCCCTGCGTGGTGGCTCTGGTGGCCGCGTCCGCGCCCCAGCAATGAGGATCCGGATGGCCGTGAGGTGGACGTGGGCAGGCAAAAGCTGCCTGCTGCTGGCGCTTTTAACAGTGGCCTATCTCCTGGTGGAACTCTCCGTCTCCACTCTCCATGCCTCCCCAGGAGCCGGCCTTACCAGGGAGCGGGGCCCAAGACAGCTCTCAGACTCCGGGAAGAAAGCAGTGGATTTGTCTCGACCGCTTTATGAGAAGCCCCCTGCAGATTCCCATGCACTTGGGGAGTGGGGGAAGGCCAGCACACTCCAGCTCAAGGAGGGTGAACTGAAGCAGCAAGAAGAACTCATTGAGAGATATGCCATTAATATTTACCTCAGTGACAGGATTTCCCTGCACCGCCACATAGAGGATAAAAGAATGTATGAGTGTAAATCCAAGAAATTTAACTATAGGAGACTTCCCACCACTTCTGTTATCGTTGCTTTCTATAATGAAGCCTGGTCGACTTTGCTCCGCACCATCCACAGTGTTTTAGAAACTTCTCCTGCAGTCCTTTTGAAGGAGATCATCTTAGTCGATGACTTGAGCGACAGAGTTTATTTGAAGACACAACTTGAAACTTATATCAGCAATCTCGATAGAGTCCGCTTGATTAGAACAAATAAGCGGGAGGGGCTGGTTAGGGCCCGTCTGATTGGGGCCACTTTTGCCACTGGGGATGTCCTCACTTTCCTGGATTGTCACTGTGAGTGTAATACTGGTTGGCTGGAGCCACTTTTGGAAAGGATTGCTAAAGATGAAACAGCAATTGTTTGTCCTGTTATAGACACCATTGATTGGAATACTTTTGAATTCTATATGCAGACTGGGGAGCCCATGATTGGTGGGTTTGACTGGCGTCTAACGTTCCAGTGGCATTCTGTCCCCAAACATGAAAGGGAGAGGAGGAAATCGAGAATTGACCCAATCAGATCACCCACCATGGCTGGAGGACTGTTTGCTGTCAGCAAAAAATATTTTCAGTACCTTGGAACTTATGACACTGGGATGGAAGTGTGGGGAGGTGAAAATCTGGAGCTGTCTTTTAGGGTGTGGCAGTGTGGAGGTAAACTGGAGATCCACCCCTGTTCTCACGTGGGCCACGTTTTCCCCAAGCGGGCGCCATATGCTCGGCCCAATTTCCTGCAGAATACTGCTCGGGCAGCGGAAGTGTGGATGGACGGGTACAAAGAGCATTTCTACAATCGAAACCCTCCAGCAAGGAAAGAAGCTTATGGCGATATTTCTGAAAGAAAGTTACTACGAGAACGGCTGAGGTGCAAGAGCTTTGACTGGTATTTGAAAAATGTGTTTTCTAATTTACATGTTCCAGAGGATAGGCCAGGCTGGCACGGAGCTATTCGCAGTATTGGGATCTCTTCTGAATGTTTAGATTATAATTCTCCTGACAACAACCCCACAGGTGCTAACCTTTCACTGTTTGGATGCCACGGTCAAGGAGGCAATCAATTCTTTGAATATACTTCGAACAAAGAAATAAGGTTTAATTCAGTGACAGAGTTATGTGCAGAGGTTCCTGAGCAAAAAAGTCACGTGGGAATGCAAAATTGTCCCAGAGATGGGTTTCCTGTTCCAGCAAACATTATTTGGTATTTTAAAGAAGATGGAACCATTTTTCATCCCCACTCAGGACTGTGTCTTAGTGCTTACCGGACACCTGAGGGCCGACCTGATGTTCAAATGAGAACTTGTGATGCTCTAGATAAAAATCAAATCTGGAAGTTTGAGAAATAGAAGAGCATAACAGCACTTTCTCGTCCTGAGCTGACGATAGCTTGAGCAAAGTCAAAGAGCCTTCAGAGAGCCTCAGTGAAGATTAAGTTTATCAGCATTCACCCAGTGGTCATCTGCAAGAGCTCTGTAAAAGCTGTGGATCATTTTGGTAAAAACACTGAAACTGGGTACACAGAGAGCTGCTGTTTAATATTTCAAAGTGCCTTACTTATGGGTTTTATTTAAGAGCTTTGTCAATATGGTCTCTTCTTAATGAATTTGACTTGAGATACACAAAACATTTAAGTGCCAGACTTAATGTTAAAGAACGTAAAAGTCCATGCAAAACGAGGGATGATTTATTTTGATGGGTAAGTTCATTGCGCATCCCATCAAAAAAAAAAAAAAACAACTCATAAATGTGCAGTTTGAGCTATTGCTATTTTTATTGTACATAGAATTTGAATTTCCTTTAGCCAGCACATTAAATTTTAGGTTTTGTTTATTTTTTTAATTCTAATTTTCCTTTACTCAAATAGAAATCAAGGAAAGTTAATCTTAAGGAGAAAGACCTGGTTTAGACATATGTGTCATTAGATGTGAATTTGAATGTAAGTTTAGAGGTCTTTTTAACATACAGACATCTCAGAAAAATATACCCATATCTGAATGAAATGAGAGATATTTACATTCCAGACTGCAAACTTGAGCTATTGGACTTAACTGATCTATATTGATACCTCACATCACTCTGATTTTGTAAGCTGTCCTCTCTGTGAACTTGTTTGTGTGTGTAGGGCATTTTCTGATTGCACTTCCTTAAGTTATGAATGTATTGGAGAGGGACTCGTTCAGAATACTGTGCTTCTCTTTGTTAATGCTTAATCACTTAAAGTAAATGCTTAATCACTTAAAATTAACACAATAGAGGACAGCTGCATTTACTGAAATGTGTGAAACTGAAAGTGGGCCCACATCTACAAAAACTGTGGAACTCTCCTACAGACTTCTTGCTGATTAGGACTTTTAAGGATCAATTTTAAGAAAACAAGGGGAAAAGATAGCCTTGGCAATGGTGGATGCTGCCTTCCAGGTTGTTTTCTGCACCTAACCCTGAGCCTGGTGCTTAGGCAGCTGTCAGTAGTTGTGGGTGAATGACTGACTGAATGAATGGCTCAGCTGATGATTGTGACTTTGGTCAAGTCATTTGATTGACTTAGTTTGGGCCTCAGTTTCTCATCTGTAAAATGTGGGTGCTGGAGCAGGTCTTGAAGATCTCTCCAGCTCTGAAATGTTATGCTTGTACATTCAGTCACTGTGCAATCTTTACAACACCTTTATTTCCTCCCTGCTAACGTAGGTAATGTTGTTGCGCAACGTTCAGTCCAGTTATGAAGCTGGAAAAAAAGAAATGGTTTTAAAAATTAAGTGAGCTGAGCTCAACTGAAGTGGTTTATTTTGGATTGAATGGAGAGTTGTGGTCAGTGTTTGTATTCATTTTATTTTGACAATTGCTGAACCAATTTTTGTTTTTTATCTTTAATCTTTCAAACTCTAAAAGTTATCTTTTGGGTTAAGAATATGAATATTTTCCAAACTAAATTATGCAAGAAGTAAACATACTTTAAAAAATTATTTTTACTGGTTTTATTCCAATGTTGTATCCAGAATTCAATCACAGGCTGAATTCAGAATTAAATCTTAATTAGTTCATTGTGGTCTAGATTTGTGAAAAATGCATGCTCCATAAAGCATCAGTCCACAGTACTCGGAAGTTGTTTTCGGTGTCTACTTGATGACTTGGAGAGTAGGAACTTTGCAAAATCTAAATTTAAGAAAAGTTTGTAGGATAACCATTTCAAAAAGTAAAATTGCTATGTATTTTGAATATTTTGTTTCTCTTTTGTTTCTTAAAATAAAAATGTGTTAATAACTTTATGTTATGTAGCAAAGAATTGTCCAGATTCCATGTGCAGTGTGCATGGCCCTGGGTACAGTTTAGGAGGGTTTGTAATCTGCTCTGATGTGGTTAATTGGCAGCAGATATGCTCCTAAACCCACCCTCACCCCTTGCTCAGTCTGCCTTTTCGTCTTTAAAAATCACCCTTTCTCTTTTTATTTATTTTTGTTGTTCTTCTTATCCCCCTATCAAATGGGAAACTAAGATTGACATATTCTAAATGTACTTACTGGAATTATTTTTATTCTAGAATCTTGCTGCTCCCATCGAAAAAAAAGGGAGCATTGAAAAGTAAAGCGCTTAATTCTTTATTTACCTTTTGCCTAAATTGCAGGGTGTGACCTGTTAATCTTTTTGGAAGAAATTTTAGGCTAGTGTTTTATTTATATCAGTAATTTGGAATCAGTGGGCTGTTCATTCCTCACAGTAATGTAGGTAACGGAAGAATGAGACCCAATTTTCATATATAGGCATTTCCAATTTAATTCCTAAAATACACTGTAAAACTACAAAGTATATTTTGATTGCCTACTTCTAATTTATTGGTACCAAAGCTGTCTTTTGCAGTAGATAATTAAGAGTTGATCTTTTAATTTATATGCTTAAAAACAGTTTTATAAAAAATTTGGTAGACAAGAAGTTTCAACTTTAAATGGTCACTATGTTATTTAGTGTTCAGTTCTATGAATATGTTGAGTAAATAGTCATTTTTAGCAGCCATTTAAAAAAATGATAATCTGGTCATCTACAGGATCTCTATAACTCAGAATAACTTGTTTGTAAACGAAGATTTGTCTGTGCACCCAGTAGTAGGCTCCTGAGTATTCATTAATTGTTGGCAAATCTCACTTTTCTAGGTTGATGATAGGAGGTTATTTTTCAGTTGTGTAATTTTAGTTGGTTTAGGGTCTCAATTTTAATTAATAAAATACTTAGTTTTGACTTTTTTGTCCTTTTCTATTGATGTTTTAATAATGTTTTAAAATGAGCACAAGGAATGTTGAGGTTCAGATTAATCTCTTTTGAACGATGAATTTTTTTGTGTGTGATGAGCGGTTTCCATCCTTCTTTCCTTTTGTCAATGGTATTTGCAATATTGATTAAGACATATAAAATAAAATGTGTGCCTAATTATTTTTGCAAATGGATTCTGATGATTTTAGTCCCTGGGGTCACTCTTCCTGTGTACACATTTATTGATGGTTATAGAAGTAAGTTAGCTTGTAATTATTTTACTTATTTGACAATGCAGGCAGTAGAATGTTTTAAAAAGTTGAATTTCATGTATTATCTTGCAAAGTGTCATTAACCAGCAAGTATTCTGAAGTGGTGTTAACACTACTCGTGCATTAACTACTCATAAACAAACTGGAAATGATCGGAGATCTCTGGGACAAATTGGGGACACTATAGAAGGAGGCAAGTGGGTACGTGGGCACCTTAGCACAAATTTCAGAACCCTGGGCCGAAAAGAAATGTCTGTCCTGTAAACTGCATAGCTTCCCATTTCCCTCAACCTTCTCTCTGCATCACCCTGTCCCTAAGTGCAATTCCTGTCCACCAGTAGCATCTCTGTCCCTCTTTTAGTGATTCCCTCCAAACACCCTCCACCCCTGCCTCTCCCTGGCCTGAAACACTGCCTGAGCATCACCAGCCCAAGGACTCCGCTTTGTATATCAGATGTCTTATAGCCACGTTTAGGATATGTGTAGTCAAGCTAAACATATTTTCACTGATCTTTTTTTTTTATGTACAGTTTAAAACGTTACTATAAATATATGTTATAATCTTCCTAATAATGAGTAATATAATCTTGCTAGTAAGTTTCTAAATGACTGCAACCCTATGCAGATCATTTCATCTCTCTGTGTTTCAGTTTCATGAACGTTAGAAAACACTGGAAAATCCGTAGAGACAATATTAGTGGCTGCCAGGGCCTGGAGGAGGCAGGAATAGAGAATGATTGCTAATGAGGATGGGTTTTTTGGAGGGTGTGGTGATGGTGATGAGAATGTTCTGGAATTAGTGACGGTGGTTGTACAACTTTGGGCAAAACACTGAATTGTACACTTTAAAAGGGTGAATTTGTGGTATGTGAATTGTATCTCAATTAAAAAAAAAGTTCAGGGGAGAAAAAGAGGCTGGAGAATTTCATGTGTCTCAGAAAAGATTGCTCTTTTCTCTGTCCCTCTGTGCATAGTAGACTTTAAAACAGGCCAGCAGTATTTATTGTTGATACTTGAGTCATGCTGTAATTCAGCAGAATTAAGGAAGTTAGATAAATATGTGAATCTCCGAGCTTCGTATGAGGGTGCAGGTGGAAACCAGTTTGTATTGGAGTTTTTTCTTAAGATTTCAAAAAAACCTCAATCCTTTTGAACAGGAGGTAGAGATTATTATACAAGGTGAAACGAGTTCCCAGAGTATATAATTGTCTGTGGCAGAACTGAAGACTAGAGAACTCCTTCTAACTTGCTAGTTAGTAGTCAGACACTACTTTTCCTTTTGTGCCCAACTTGATCATTTCCCAGGCTGGCTGGGAAGGGATGTCTGCTGCAGGCCAGCAGTGTCCTCAGCTGTCTGATCATCATTCTAACCCATTTATTTACACTTATCTAATCCTCTTCATAAAAGGAATAGGAGGTACTCTATTTACTTAGTACTCTTTTTTTTTTTTCTTTAAAGTTAATTCTGCTATGTGTCAGGTGCTGTCTTATGCTTGGGTGTACATACAGAGATGTACAAAACAGGTGTGCTTCTTATGATGGTATGAAGAATTCACAGTCCAGTGATAGAGACAGATATTAACAAGTAAACATACAAATCATGTGCAGATACAACTTGAAACTGGAAAACAACCAAATGCTGTGAAGAAAAGGAACAGGTTTCTTTGAGGGATGAAAACTGGGGCAAAGTACTTAAGTTTATGGGGTCAAAGAACATTTCTCCGTGGAAGTTAGATTTAGCTCAAGACCTGAAGGAGGAGCTAGCTAGGCAAAGACTAGAGACAGAATAGAATAAGCAAAAATCAAGGGTGGGAAAGAGCTTGTCCTTGATCAAGGAAATAAAAGAAGGCCAGAATGGGTAGAGCCTGTAAACAAATGAAGAAAGAGAGCTTTGGGAGGTGAAATTGCAGGGGGAGGCCGAGGCAGCTTGAGTTGTCTTTGGAGGCTATAGTGGGTTAAACGGCGACCCCCCAAAAGATATGTCCATGTCCTAATCCCTGGAACTTGTAAATGTGACTTTATTTGAAAGAAAAGGTCTTTGCAGATGTAATCAAGGATCTTGAGCAGGGATCCTCCTGAACTATCTGGGTGGGCCCTAAAATGAGACATACAGAGGAGATAAGAGGAGGAGGCCACGTGAAGTCAGAGATCGGAATGATAGAGCCACTGGCCAAGGAGCTCCTGGAGGCACCAGAAGCTGGAAAAGGCAAGGAATGAAATCCCTAGAGCCTTTAGAGGGAGTGTGATCCTGCCAACACCTTGATTTTGGACTTCTGGCCTCCAGAACCGTGAGAGAATAAATTTCTGTTGCTTTAAGCCTCCAAGCTTTTGGTAATTTGTTATGGCAGCCACAGGAAACTAAGAGGGCATGTTTTAGGCTTTTGTTCTGAGAGTCATGGAAATTTGTTGAAGGATTTTAAATGAGGGAATGATACAATATGATTTATACCTCAAAAATATCACTCTGGTTACTACGTGGAGATTGAACCACTGTGAGTAGAGAAATCAGTTAGGAGCTATTATATCAGCAGGAGATGATGGTGGTTCAGACTAGGATGGTGGTCTTCAAACTCGGTGATAGCCTGGGAAAGAGAAATTTGGGAGTTACTAGCATACAAATGGTATTTAAAGTCATGGGAATAGATGAGGTCACCTGGGAAAAACATAGAACAATGAGGGCAAATGGTCCATTTCTGAGTCCTAAGGCTCTCCAACCTTTGGATCAGAAGAGGAAATGACAAAAGAATCAAAGAAGGAATAGTCGGAAAAATAGGAGGGGAACCCATTATAGTAAGGTATTATGAAAGCCAAGGTGTAGATAGAGTGGAGTAAAAATGTAGAAGAGAGAGAAGAAGATATTAAATAGTCATTAGAAAGAGTGGGGAAGGGAACTATTATAGAATTGAGCACCACTGGGTAGTGTGGAAGATCCGTGTGCAATTAGCGATCATGAATTTATAGTATTTCCAGTCTTCCTGGGAGTGTGTCTAGCAATTCTCACTGGCACAGATACAGTCTCAGAAAAGGCAGAGCGACTGGGATTTTGCCAGAGGAATTTGAAGGAAGGAGGAAAAGTCAAAGGATTGAATATATGTGTAAGAAGGGGTTTATAATTTGGATAAGGAGAGCAGTGAGGATTATAAATCAGATAGTGAAATGAAGATAGTGATAGAGAGCCTCAGTGGAGAACATAGGTCAATGGATTGGAGTTCTGGATGAGTTAGAAGCTCATCCAGAAAAGAAGCTATAAGAAAAGCATGTTGTCAAAGGGTAGTGGGTTTCATTTAGCAATCAGGGAAGTGTTGGTTCTGCTGGCGACAAAATCCAGGGTTTGACCATGGAATGGGCTGCTGAGGAAGCATGGAAGAAAAGGTCTTTGGAGAGGCCTGGTTGTCCCTTTAGTCTGAAATATTCTTCACCACCTCACTCTGGTTGGCTGGCTCCTTCCTGTGCTTCACGCCTCCACTTAAAATGCCACTGATTACTCCATCTGAATAAAGTATTCTATGCCCATGAAAAATTCTCATGTGACATCCTGCTTTATCGTTCATGTCTCTTAGCACAATTTAAAGTGATATGCTTGCCTGCTAATTGACTTGTTTCCCTCTTCTCTGCTTAAATTTAAGCCTATACCAGGGCTCCCTGTTTTACAAATAAAGTAGTTCAGCACAAAGAGGCACATGGACAAGTGCTGGCAAGATAATCTTTGGTCTTTGCTTTGGGTGTTAGCATGGCTAAAGCAGATTTTGCTGGGAGAACGGTGATAGGTGTACTGTTCACATGGCTTTGGAGAAAGATATTTTCTTCCATTAAGATCCTGTGTCTGAGATGCAGTATAGATTTTAGCACTTGAAAATGCTGCCCGAGTCAAGAGCTCTCCTGCAATTTTCAGATAAGTTTGTGACCTGCCAGCATATTTGATTTTGCATTTATTGAAATGTTCATTAAAACAATGCGTCTACTGAAACCCAAAGAAGTTACTTAAATGAAATAAAGCTTCACACAAACTTAAATTTAAAAAAAAAATTAAGCTCCCTATTCAGAGATTTTTGCCTGTATCGTTACTTAGGACTCTCCCCACCCCGCCCACCATGCCTTACATGTGGTAGGGGTGAGATATCTGTTGAATGAACTAATAATACCAGGAGTTAGAACGGAGAGAAAGACCTGAAGCGTGAAAGAGAAAATGATTGTTGCTTGAAAGGGCTGCAGGGAACTTGATGTCCCCGAGCAGAGTCAAAGTGTAAGTAGGTTAGTAGGAGGAGGGACTTTCAGAGAGGAGGATGTGTATACAAGAGGGATCATGTAGTGGGTGTTTCTCTGGCCCGTGGTAGCTTTGGGGAAGGAGAGCAGGCATGGGTACCAGGGTCAGCTAAGGGGCTATCTGGAGCATTATGGGAGAGAGTGCAGGGTAATTGATGACCAGAGAGGCTGAAGACTTAAATTCCTGGTCATGACTGGAGGAAACAGCATGAAGCATGGTGGATTTATACTCAGTAGCCTCTTGGAAGGTGGTGGGCTCTTGGGTTTCACAGGATGAGTTGGAAGGTGATCAGAGAGGAGAGGATGGGAAAAAATGACCACCTGTGAAATACCATCCCTCTTTATGCAGACAGAAACTGGAAGTTGAGTAACTTTGCTGAGGCGGTATAGCTAGTAAGCAGCAGAGCTTGGGTGAGCCTGACTTCCAGTCGGCCTCTGGAGCCACACTCTTTT